ACCCCTGGGACTATGAATAGAAAACTTATTGGGAGGATTAAAAACTAAAAGAGATAAAGAAGAGCATTGTGCTACTATCCATGGGAGAACTGAAGTGGCTCTAAATGGATTCCTAAAAAGAATTTCCCAGGGGAGCTCTTAGACCACCCAAACACAAAGCCCAGTCCAAACCAATGGAGTCCGAGTTTCTGGGAATGGGATCCAGGCGTCAGCATTGTTTAAAGCTAACGAGCAGCCAGAGTTGTTCTAGACCCTTCCTACTCTCAGCGTGGCCTGTGGATCAGCAGCAGCAGTAGCCCCTGGAAACTTCTCAAACACACAGAACTTCAAGCCCTCCCCTAGGCGTACGGAATCAGAATCTGACATTTGACAAGGTCCTCAGATGATTCTTATGCAAGTTACATTTTGAAAATCACTGATTGAAAAGATGCACAGTATTAAATTCGGATGTCTGCTGCTTCCTTAATATTTAACTGTTTCTTCCTCGATGCTGATCTACATCACAGCACTTGGAACGAGCTAAGTAGCAGCACCTGCTTTGTTTTGCTGTCCCTGACTTCTCTAACTGCTCTCAGAGTTGGTGCCATAATGCCCATGACCTATAATGCCAATTCCTGTCTTGGTAATAATTATGAATATCCTTGGCCCTCCTCAAGCGGGATTTGAATGTTCCAAGGATGCTACATAGAATCCAGTGTCATTTGCTGACATCCATATCCTGGGACAAATTTTGGTATGTTAATCCTGTTTATTTATGCCTTAGATTAAGCAGCATCAGTATGAACACTAAGACCTTGCTCCTGCCCTCTGCCTCTTGTGGTTTTCTCTTTGGGGTTCTATTGCTAGTTCTAGTCAGGACCCTATTCTGAATCCAAAAAAGTGATTGTGGGGGCAGTCGGCCTTCCTTGCTTCTGGCATTTATCCTTCAAAAAGTTGGCAAGAGGGGCGCCTGGGTGGCGCAGTCGGTTAAGCGTCCGACTTCAGCCAGGTCACGATCTCGCGGTCCGTGGGTTCGAGCCCTGCGTCGGGCTCTGGGCTGATGGCTCAGAGCCTGGAGCCTGTTTCCGATTCTGTGTCTCCCTCTCTCTCTGCCCCTCCCCTGTTCATGCTCTGTCTCTCTCTGTCCCAAAAATAAATAAACGTTGAAAAAAAAAAATTAAAAAAAAAAAAAAAAGTTGGCAAGAGTCCTGAATCCATACATAGACCTAGATGATGATGCCACCCAGTTGGTTCTGTTGATATTGGCTCTCCCACACATCCAAGTTTCCTATGCTTTTTTACCTCATTTGTCTACCAAGCTACTGGAATGGACTGATAGCCATTAAAATAACTTTTAGGGTAGAATTCATCCTACATTCTACTGCAGATGACCTCTCCAGCAGCATCTCTTCAGTTCCTGGCCCTGGAACAGGACTTTATAAATTCCCTGCTCTAGTCTTCCTTTCTTTCTGGGTGTATTCGATTGTATGTGATCCATAAAACTTCACGTCTCCTGTCCAAGTGAGCTCTAACATTACTCATATTGTAGATGGTCCATGTAGAGACATCTCAAGTTCATAAGACTTGTAAGGAAACCTCAGATGACTTCTGTATATAGGGACAAAGAAGCAGAAAGTGAAAGAAGAAATGCAAAAATAACCTTTACTAAACCAGAAAAATCTCTTCCATTCTATTTTTGGTGAACCTCAGCTTATTGCTGGACATATTGTTGGATTGTCCTTGTGCAGACATATTCTGAGATCCTGGAGAAAACTAGAAGGCACTAGAAGTGGAAGCCTTAAAGGGTCATACCATGACTTGCTCCTGTAGTCATAGAGTGCATTTGGGGACATGCACAACTCTGGCTCATTGAGGTAGAGTCAACTCATTGAAGAAGAGTTTCAGTCCCTTCTGAAAGGGAAGATACGAAATTCCCCCCAAAAAGTACATAAAGATTCATGTGGCATTCAAATCATAAGAATAAGATATGTAGTTGGTTTAGAGTCAGGAGCTTTTAAACTGAACAGCTGTAACCCATTTGGGCAGTCGTGCAAAACAGAAAGTTGGCAAACCAGATAGTCTTTTCAGACATTAAACACAAGACACTTGGGGCCAAATCTTGTGATTAAGAAATCAAATGTTTTCTTTTTCTCCTTCCAACCTGTTCTCAGAGTGTGGAAAGTTATATGATTTTTCTTCTCTGACTCTCTGGTTTTGGTTATTGGGAACTGCCTGTCTCTTCAGCCACTGGAGGTCAACTCAATTCAATTCAATCCAGTCTAGTCCAATCCACTCTAATCTAATCCAATTTGGCCTCATCCACCTTTTTGGGGGGGGGGGAGACCTATAGGAACATCAAGAAGTTAAGTGCACTGGGGGCTCATACACCAGGTTGTCCACAGCTCAGCTCATAAAATATCACAGCTCTGGTGTAATACCTGTACCTCTTCGCTCCCACTTAACACCTAGAAACGTGGTTTCTAGATACTTTCCTGCATCCCGGATTCTGCTTTATAATTACCAGATTGTATACATTATTGATTTTTTCTAATCCACTCAGGCATGACCTGTTGCCTGTCCCAACTCTCTAACTGTAACCAACATAGTCGTTTTCTATCTCTTATCCTAACTCTTCCCTCGGGCATCTGCCCATACCTCTGTCTTTCATTTCAACCTTTCAGACTTTATTTTCTCCTCCCATGGCTTGACCTGGTAGAGAATGCTTCCTTTAGAAGGTTTTCCTTTCAAGTACACAAGCAGAGATATGCACGAACATCTGGGGTAAGCCTTTTGTTCAACTTCAGCCCCTAGTGAATATGAAGACAGGTCTTCTGAGCAAAAGAGAAAAAGGCAAGATTAATGAGAACAAACATCAGAGAAATGCCTTCATGTCTAGAAAACATTAAGAACCTGCTTTGGACACATTTGAACATTCGTGTGTTTTGATTCTAACCTCTTTCTATCTAGTCTAACCTGGGGTAGACCAGACTCCCAAGAGGCCTAGCAGCAGGAAGTAGGGTATTGCAATGAAAAGTAGCTGCTGGTTCCTGGCTCTCATGAGGAAAAGGGTAGAGCCAAAAGCCTCCAATCAGCAGGAAAACACCCAGAATGGTCTTACGGTGCCTTAAAATATAGGACCACTGCCCTACCAATTGGCAAACAACCATTGCCCCACCTCTTCCACCCACTTCTTGTTGCCCTGGTGGCTTGACTGCCTTCACAGGTTACTCTTGTGCCTCCAGCAACTAGAAGTCTAACATTTTGATTTGTGGGTCTTGGGCTCAATCCCTGGTTAAATATGGTAAAAACCATTTTTGGATGATCACTCTTGACTCTGGTAGGAAATGAATGCTTAGAGCGTCTTTAGGAACTACTAGGAAAGGGAATAACCTTTTAGGATTATCTTAGGAAGAGAAGTGCTTATAACTTGCCTCCTGAGTTAAATTCCTTAGGGGCTGCCCGGAGTCATCCTACTTCTTTTTCTTTACCCATTCTCCTCACTAATTCGGTACGAAACCATCTATCTGATGACCTAGTCTCACTGCTCCTCTGTTCTCCATGTCTGTCTTCATAGGCACCAGTTTAAAGTCCTTCTTTCATGTAGTGACCTCAGTCACTTTTCTGGACAGGGGATGATTGGTTCTAAATCTGATAAGCAGATTCTTCCCCAGGGTGGACTTTATACCACCATGCTGCCACATGACAATTTCTCTGCTTCCTCCACCAGGGACAATCAGCTACTAGTGAAGTTTAGCGCCTCTTGCCATCGTCCTCCTGGACAGCATCATGGTGAAAGAGAGAGGGAGTTTGGGAACCAGATGGTCCTGAGTTTGAAATCCAACTTTTCTTGACTACTTGGGTTGCTAGAGCAAATGACTGAACTTTTGTGAGGCTGTTTCGGTGTTTGTTTTATCTGCAAAAACAAAAGTAGATCTTACTTGATAGGGACGAGAATAATAATAAGTGAAATGATACTGTTGTAGTGATCCATTTATTTCCTTGGTCTACCCAGCATCTCTTTAGGGAATCACCCTCCCTATTCTTATTCTACGTGACTTGACAATAGGAATGGCCTCATTACCTAGGGGGCCAGAGTTCTGTGTATGGCTAGCCCATTAAAATCTTCCCAGAGAATCTGATGAGACAATCCCCCAAAATGTATTTTCTTTTCATTAGTGCATTTGGAATAGGCCCATGGACAAAAAGAATGATCTTTTTATGATTCTTATCCAATGTGTTGCATACTTTGGGAATAACGGTTATAATGGTGTCCTGGCACTCATAACGTGGAATTTGGGCATGCCTACGAAGCTGCAAGTTTGCAGTCTCTGATACAGGGCACTAAATTAGATTTTGATAACAATGGCAGCCATGTCAAGTCATCCATAAGTTAGCTTAAGAAAAAGTCGAACATACCGGTTCGTGTGTCGTGGAACTAGGATGGTGTGTCGAGGCAAAGGACTGGCCTTAGAGATGCCAGGAAGTCCGAGAGTGTCACCCCTGCTCTCTGAATGTCCATTTGCTTTATGATCGATCCCCACTGCAAATGAGTGACTAGATGGGGACGGACATGACCAGAGATAACTGTAAGTCTTCATAATCTCAGTTTAGCAACCCCAGGAGAAAGAGAGAACATATTTTCCTCTCAGTGTCTGTGAAGTGTCTTCCAGTGTCCTTGAAGGCCAAACCGTAAGTTCCTAAAACTCAGGTTGTTCTGATTTGAGTCATTTGATCATGGCTGGGCCAGTCTCTGAGGTATATGAATACATGCATGCGCGTGAATTTCTTGCACGGCGTAATTGGCGCATGCACTAAATCTGTATGAGGAGAGAGGCAGCCATTCCCAAAGGATAGAAGGTGCAATTACCTAAAGAATGGTGGGAAGGGAGGCTTGAGTAGACCAAAATTGAGTAGACCAATAGATGCTATTGATATGATCATCATCATCATCCCCTTCGTTCTTATATTATTTTTATTATTATTATTTGCCATCACAAGTGTAACCCTCATTACCCTTGCAGGAAGAATATACCTTACTGTGATTGGCTGTCACACCGACTTTCAGGGCATGGGGACATTCAAGAGCAAAGGGAAATGGGCTTCATAAAAGGTAGGCGTTTGGCCCCTTTGACAGTAAAAATTGAACTACCTTCTCTGGCAACAGCATATACAACTGGTATCTCCTTATTAAGAGGAAAAAACCATCATTGCTAACCGATGGCATGCATTATGATCCATCTAAAAATAGTAGGGCGAGTTGGGGTTGAAGCTTCACAAAAAAATGTTTTAGATACGCAGAAATATCACGGGCCAAGGGCTCCCGGAAACAGTGTCCTCACCTGAAAGACACTCACGTCCCATATGACACAGCCTGGTGCGCTTTGTGGCTATTTACTGAACGTGAATTCAATATAATTCTTGAACCAGGGGAGCAAAGGCAATATCTTTTAATAGCTCATATTCTATATGTCATATCTTCGGTAATAAGACGACAGAAGGGATATTTCTGGCTGCGGTTGGTTAGTATTAATCCATGTACATTAGAAGACATACAAAATATCCCTATTTGTCCATTTTCTGCAGCAATGTTTCTTTGACTTTATTGCGTAATTGGCTTTCTTAAAAATAAAAAATAAAATAGTCACTCGGTAAAATACATCAACGTTGACATGACAACCAGTTCTCCTAGTATATTGTGGATTTGGAAATTCAATAAATGCAGATGTATACTTAGGCAAATTCACAAAGACACATCATAGAATTTCTACTTTATATAAATTAGAAAATGATTTGGAGCTTTTATGGCTCTTGGTGATAAACTGTATTAAGTCAGCTTTTGAAAAACTAGATTTTTGTTCTTCTAAATTGTATGCATTCGGGCCTTCATCATTTCATGTTAACATGTTATCCTTCTTACCAGACGCCTAGTACTTAGTAACATTCATCGTCCCTACTTTAAAGATCTAATTTTTTCAAACCAGAGAAAGAACTGTAACACTGCCAGAATTATGTTCTGAATTTTATAAACAGAGAAGACAGATAATGCCCATTGGGCATCCTTCCTGTCTGTCTTTGACAGGTCTATCTTTGATTCTACCTCGTGGTAGGAGCACTAGATTTAGCAAAGAAAAATATACAATGTTCAGTTAAATTTGAATTTCAGATAAACAACACAATGTTTTAAAATTATTTATTTTTGAGAGAAAGAGAGAGAGCGAGGGAGAGGGGTAGAGAGAGAGGGAGAGAGACAATCTCAAGCAGGTTCCATGCTGTCAGGACAGAGCCTGACACAGGGCTCTGTCTCACAAACCATGAGATCATGACCGGAGCCCAAACCAAGAGTCACACGCCTAAGTGCTGAGCCACCCAGGTGCCCCACAAAATTTTTTTTAGTCTAAGTACGTCCCACGCAGTAATTGGGTCAGACCTTTGCAGAAAACTATTCGTTGGTATCTGGAATTCAAATTTAACTGGACATCTTATATGCTTACTTGACTCAGACCCAGCCTTTAAGGGAGGAAAATCCTTCCCAGCAGTCCCTTGAATTTACATACCACATCACACAGTTGACCTTCTCCAAGAATGTCTTCTTTCTCCTGTATCTCTCCAAAGTCGTACTCTGCAGAATTTCTGCCCAAACTTGCTTTCCCTCTCCCAGCTCCTCCCAACCCCTCTACCTGCCCCAGTTATGTGCCGTTCTCTCATCTGTTCCGGGCGTCTGCCATGTCCATCCTCACACACATCCCAGAAGCTCTGGAGGAAGGAGGAAGTAAGAGGAGGAAATTCTGTGGGTACAGGTTTAAATTAACACACCCTCACCCTTTATACACACATCAAACGCTACTACGAATGAAATGCGTGTAATGATTCTATTGACTAGGAAGTAGGATGAAATTTAAACTCTTTTTTTTCAACTCTCCTTCCAACACTAAGATGGTCTGACTTTCTTCAAATATACCCCCCTCGACATCGTTTGCAATTATGTTGTCCTTCAATGTCTTAGGTGATGACTTCTCGCTTAAAATATGAAAGCAGAAAGCTCTCCTGCTTCTTTTTCACTAGCAAGGTCATACCAGAAACCCAGAAATTATTCCACGCAGGCAGATTTCCACATTCTGCCCTCCCTCTGGATAAATTGAGCCTGTCTACAGTAATTTCTCTGCGTTTCTGTACCCACGCACTTATTACAGCTGCCATAGTCCAGCAATATTTTCCCCCACTCATCATCATAACAGCTTATAAGTATTTGATGGGATTAAACAGAGCCAACCCAATTCTGTCATTCCGGCAACCAAATTCATGAGTCCAGGCATCAGTATATAGTGATAACAATATCCAGAAGCCCAGTCTGGCTGGCTGTCATCTGTACGTTGTGTGGGTGGGTCAGCCTAGTTTTTAGTTTTAAGTTTTGGAGGCAGATAGACACCCTATGTAGCAAAGCAGATGAACTATGATATTAGTAGTTGAATTCCTTTGCTCAAACCTGCCCCTGACTTTTTTTTTTTTTTCAATTTTGTACAGTCAGGTGCAGGCTTGAAACTGGCTGTTTACCTTTTCATTTGCCCCGAATAAACGTTTGTTTACTTAATGTTCCTAGCATTAAAATGCCCACACTGTACCCACACCACAACAAGGAAAGGGAGGCTGGAAAACATTTGTTGGGATGGATGATAACAGCAATAATGATAATAATTTACTATTAGCAGTAGTATATCCCATATTTTAAATGATTACCCTGTAATTTTTAAAAAATTGTACAGGGGCTCCTGGAGAGCTCAGTCAGGAGAGCGTGTGACTCTCGATCTTGGGGTCGTAAGTTCAAGTCCCACATTGGGGGTAGAGATCACTTCAAATAAAATCCTTTTTTTTAAATGTTCATTTATTTATTTTGAGAGAGAGAGAGAGAGAGAGAGCGCGAGCATGAGCAGGGGAGGGACAAAGTGAGAGGGAGAGACTGATGTGGGGCTCAAACTCATGAACTGTGAGATCATGACCTGAGCTGAAATCAGGAGTCAGGCAGTTAACCAACTGAGCCACCCAGGCGCCCCATTCAGACAAAATCTTTAAAAAAAAAAAAACCAAAAACAATTGTACAGAGGAAAAATTTTAAATATGATTTTTTTTCCAACGTTTATTTATTTTTGGGACGGAGAGAGACAGAGCATGAACAGGCGAGGGGCAGAGAGAGAGGGAGACACAGAATCGGAAACAGGCTCCAGGCTCCGAGCCATCAGCCCAGAGCCCGACGCGGGGCTCGAACTCACGGACCGCGAGATCGTGACCTGGCTGAAGTCGGACGCTTAACCGACTGCGCCACCCAGGCGCCCCTAAATATGGTTTTTAAAAATATTGAACTTCTAACGGCTAGACTATATCCATTTGAAGAATAAAAAAAATATATATTGACTGTAATTGAAAGTAGAGAGTTACCTGCTCCTTTCTATGCAATTTCTCATTTTGTGAATTATGTGGCTCTAACTCTGTAAATGAAATACGTAGCATCTACAGAGTAGAAAAGCATACAGTTGAAAAATTGTTAATTTAGCCAAATGATATTTAAAACCACAGGATAGCACCGGGGCACCTGGATGTCTCAGTTCGTTGGGCAGCCAGCTTCGGCTCAGGTCATGATCTTGCAGTCGGTGAGTTTGAGCCCCGCATCAGGCTCTGTGGTGACAGCTCGGAACCTGGAGCCTGCTTCGGATTCTGGGTCTCTCTCTCTCTCTCTCTCTCTCTCTCTGCTCCTCTCCCACTCGTGCTCTGTCTCACTCTGTCTCTCAAAAATAAATGTTAAAAAAAAATAAAAATGAAAAACAGGATAGCATCAAAAAATGAATTCATTTTATTTCATGAGCCTCTTCCACATTCTCAATCAACTGTTTCCCTGAAATAGTTTCGTAGTTTAATAGATTTATCATAATTGGTTCTTCCTATGGCGAAAAATGACCTCGTAGGCTGGAATATATATTTGCCTGATTCAAAGATATTTGACTATGATTATTTCATCTTTCTGAAGTATTCTAGAAGATTAACATGATAGAAAACTGAGCTATATATGGACTATATTGATGAGGCTCACGCCCATTTGAAAAGAATGTTAAGCCCAAAATTTAAAAAGCCAGACCCAAAGTAAAATGCGCACATCGATTACAACTACATAAAAGTAATAGACACAGGAACAAAGAATACAAATGGATCTGGAGGGTAATAATCTAATGTTCGTTAGGAGCGTGTGTATGTGTATCAAGTTTGGTTTACAATAATTTTAAAAAGAAAACAATTCTAGGAGGAAAAGAACCAAGACAACACTTATTTTAAAATGAAGTTCTGTACTATAAAAAACATGCATATGTAGCCAGAAAAATTTATTATTAGGGACGTATTCGGGATCTCGTGGTTTTATTCTTTATTATTTAAAGCAACAGCATAAGATTAATATTTTAAATATTTGCTTAGAAACAAAACACCAGTGGCCTCCAGGATACCATGTGCCAATTTTCCCCTCTGAACCATTTTTACAGACAACTTACAACCTCCCTAAATTATAGGTTTACGCCGATAAATAAGGGGTTGTTGGATAATAAGGAAGCTGACAAATCTTTAATAGTACTAGTTATTGCTGCTGTAATTTATGCATAGATACTGATTCTAATTAAGTAATAGCAGAGGTTGCCTTTGAATTTATGAGGCTATAATCGGCTCCCTCGTGCTCAATAAATGCCACAGCTCCAGTCTGTGGTGTTAATTTCACACTACAGTGGGAACTATGGTTGTTGCCAAATATACCCATAAGTCACAGGCAATTTGGATTATTACTATAGTGTGTGCTGCATCGAGAAAGGAACTGGTTCCTAATCGCTTTTTAAAGTCATTATTGACCGTTTGTGTATGATAAGCCTTCTGACATTGATGAGGCGTGGTGCGGTAACTCGTCTTCTCCTCGAAATCATTTCCAGACAAAATCAAGACGCTGAATCCTCTGGAAAAATAGTAGTCTGGGAGGGTCCCCCTTCCTCAGCTCCCTGGCTGTTTCTGGGACACGAGAGCGGGAAACTTGGGACTTTGCCTGCAAACTCGCCCACGTGCGCGTGTGGTGTTCCCCAAAGGAACGCACCTGACGTGGGGTCGTTTCCCTTTGCGAATTTCACCAGTTAACGGGATGGGGTTTTCTAAATGCCACCAGCATGCCGACCAAACTGCGCGCCGTTCTCTTCGCATTTCCTGAAGCTGGGTGCGAACTGGAGCGTTCTCACTGCGAGGTTTAATGCTAGGATTACTTTCCTCCAAATGTCACCAAAAAAAGATGAAACCTGAACATCACAGCTCGTATAAACACTGTGTCTCCTTCCTCCTGTTACCTTCTCCCTTCTGGTTCGGAAGAGTTATTTCCCGGCGGTTGGATCTTAAGAAATTCCACCCGGGGTCACCTTATATTCCACACCCGATTCTTAAACCCACAACACCGGAGCGGCTCCTTGCGGTCCAGCAGTGAATGCGCCCAAACACTGGCTAGTGACGGGTAGGGTCTTTTTGTGCCTGAGCGCGGGCTGCGTTAACCCCAGGGACAGCATGCTCTCTGACTGGTCGCAGTGAGCACAGATTTCGGTTTTGGGTACGTGGGCATCCTTTCCTAAGGGACCCACGAGGCTCCAGTGCAGTCAACAGCATGATAGGAGAACGATGTTTTCTTCTCGAGGGGCGAGCACCGAAGGCAGATGGCTCCCCACGTGATGGTGTTTTCGGCCTGCCAAAATCAAGGTGCCAAGACAGGAGTCGAGGTGCCAAAACTAGTCGAGGAGTTTTACTGCCTCACTGTATCCTTCCAAATAAAATGACATCAAATATCAGATATTTCCTGTACTGCTTTCCATTATTTGCCGAGAGAGGATTCTTCAAACATCTGAAAGATCCTGAATCCTGGCAGAAAGGTGGTTTCTTTATATGTGTGTGTGTGTGTGTGTGTGTGTGTGTGTGTGTGTGTGCGCGCATATATATATTAATTTTTATATAATTATATAATTAATATATGTATTAATTTTTAAATTTTTATTCATTCTGAAAGGGAGAGCATGAGTGGGGAAGGGGCAGAAAGAGAGGGAGACTCAGAATCTAAAGCAGCCTCTGGGCTCTGAGCTATCAGCACAGAGCCTGACATGGGGCTCGAACTCATGAACCGCGAGATCATGACCTGAGCCGAAGTTGGACGCTTAACTGACTGAGCCCCCCAGGTGCCCCAGAAAGGTGGTTTCTGAAACCAATAGGCAATGCACTATGGAGATAATAGATATTATAAAAAATGCGTGCGTGTGTGTGTGTGTGTGTGCTGACCTTGCTTCATTTAATTTGTGACACAGAAGGACAAGTCTCTTGCTAGTATTGTACAGGTACACATAACGAAAGATCAGGCCGGCAGCTTTAAGAACAAAAAGGCTTTAGGAAGAAAATTTAGAGTCGTCGTGCACTCTCCTCATTCAGGGCGGGTGAGCGGCCTAGCTTTCTGGAAGGAAGATGGAGACCTATAATGAATCTGGCTTAGCAACTGAAACAGTGTCACTGTCTATGTGGGGTGGCCGTGGAGGTGCACACTCAGTCCCTCCTGGGGAGCACCTCCTGGGAGGAGCATTGTGAGCTGACAGCTTCTGCGGCCAGACTTCTGGATCCATCGTGGCCTTCGCGCCAAGGCCATGGTCTTCCCAGACGCTCTCAGCCAGCGAGCGTGGTAGGCACAACTAGAGAAGGGCCTGATTCTAGGACTTCTCTGAAGGGCAGCAGGTGCTCGTGGACTCCTCAGCCTGACCATGACCTTTACAGGGCCACACTGTGGTCCGTGGCTCATCCTGATCAATCCCCCTTCCTTCCCTCTCTCCCTTCGCGGTTGACAGACCTATAACACCACCTGAAGTCTCTCTTTCTCCTCCTGCTGTCTTGTCCTTTACCATCCATGTCTTCAGACATGGCCAAATGCCTATTGAGAGGCCAGATCTCCCCCAGATGAGGACTCCTGGGAGAAGGTGAGAAAGCCTCCCTGTGGTGAGCAAGGTACTTGCTCCTCTGGGCTCCTGTGGCACTTAGTTTCATTAAAGCACTTTTATGACATTTGTCATCGTTCAGCTATCAGGCTCCCTGATTGTCATCGTTCAGCTATCAGGCTCCCACTCTTTGCAAGGTCCTCCAAAGGAACTGTGGTTTTCATATTGACTCTACTTCGCCACCCCCCTTTTGGATCTGGGTAAAAGGTGCTCATGTAAGTGTTGACTCAGGGAAGAGAGGGAGAGAGGCGAGGAGAGAGGGTTGGAGAGGGAGGGAGGACACAGACAAGCGGGAGAGAGTGACTCCGGGCTCCATTTTCCCTCTGCTGACCAGAGAGGCTTGCAATAGGCTTGTACCTTTGAGCCTGGTCGTGCTGAGTTCATCGCTCCCCACCTTAGCTCTCCTGCATTCTTTCTTTCTATATTATTTGTTTGTTGAGAAACCGTTCACTTATTACAGTCCGAGTGTCGAAATCCTCTTCGGTTTTTGGATCCCCTCATGGCCTCCTCTGCCCACGTGGAGGCCGTTTGCAGGCAGCTGCTGGCAGCTTGTGGTCCGTCCCCAGGAGTTGACAAGAGTTAGCCATCAATAATGTGATCTCACACACCAGGGCACTGCACCAGAGGGTGAGCACTTCTTGTTTTGGAGTAACGGAAAAAAAAAAAAATATATATATATTATGAATAACACTTGATCCCCAAATGGAAAGGTAGATAAGATAGCAACGCAGTCCATGGACATGGATGACGGCATAGTCCACATGAGTGGCCAAAGAGCTAGAATGCCAGGCTTTCCCTTGCTCTGTTCTTCCGAGGGAGAGGAGCGGCGTTCCAAGGACGTCAGCAGGCCCTTGTGTTATATTTCTCGAACAATAAAATAGGCCTCGGAGATTTGGAAAGGGATGCATTTGCTTATTACAATTATTTAAAACTCAGACTCCCAGGAATGAGAACGATGCTGGTAAGCATAGCAAAATTACACCAGTGCCTGTTTTGGCTCCTCTCACTCCCACAGCCTGCATTCTTGTGAATTGCAAAAGGGAGCAGACGTAGCCAGAGGCAAAGGGACTCTCTGCCCAGGCCTGGGTCACTTAACCCCCACGTGAAATCGTTCCTCTAAATCTGCTTCTAAATCTGATCCCCAGATAGAGGTTTGCCGAGCTTAAAACACTTTTTTTTTTTTTAACTTCCAGAGTTCTTCGTCTTTCAGATTATTCATAGTCCACATTAACAGCTAAAATTATCCTGTGCCATACCTCTTTGACACAAGGGAACGTTTTGTCACTGTCACCCAGATTGGAATTTTATGGAATCCTAAATTCGTAAGGGCCAACTAAATTATTAAGTTCAGTAGCTCCCGAATTTTGGTGAATAAAACATCCACTGAGGGAGCTTGTTAAAAATTCAGATTCCGATGAGGCCCAGGAATTTGAAATTTCGGGGATGAGTTATACCTCCCGTTTGGTAACATTCAGTCCTCTGAGGCGTACCGTGTGATGAATATCAGTGATCATTTACCAGCGCGTAACCTCTACTGCAATCACAACGTACAACCGTTGCGTTACCCCACAACGTTTCTCCGCGCCCCTTTGCAATCTGTCTCCTTCTCCCTCCCTTACCTATAGCCCCCGCTCGCCTAGCAGTCTGTTTTCTTTCCTGTAATTCTCCCTCCTGCGGGATCCCCTGTAAATGTAGTCACGCAGCCTGTAGCCTTTTGTGTTTAACTGTCCTCCTTTAGTACGATGTTTTTGCGATCGCAATTTAAATAGAAATTCTGGGTAATTCTGTGCAGGGAGTTCATGGCCACAGTTTGAGAAGCACTAATCTGGTCCACACTTCTTGCTTCATAGATGAGGAAACAGAGGTGCAAATGTCCATGGCTTTGCCTGAAGTGAGATATTCCTGAGAAATCGTTAGACGTTATGGCCTTGGAGAGGCTTCCTTGGATCATTTAGTTTTCCTCTGCCTTCCTAGGAGGAGAGATTGCATCCCTGAGAAAGCACAGGAATAATCACATCCTAAAATAGTCACCTTAGTTTGGATTCATTTGACCAGTGATAGGAGGTCCAATCCATGAATACCCTTTCGATTTTCTTCTGGGTTACAAGAATTATTGCCAGGACTTCCCTGAGATCCAAAGCGTGAATTTCCTTTCCATTTTCTTCTGGAATACAGGAAATTATTTCCAGGTCTTTCCTTGAATTAAGAAATATTTGGGGCGCCTGGGTGGCGCAGTCGGTTAAGCGTCCGACTTCAGCCAGGTCACGATCTCGCGGTCCGCGAGTTCGAGCCCCGCGTCGGGCTCTGGGCTGATGGCTCAGAGCCTGGAGCCTGTTTCCGTTTCTGTGCCTCCCTCTCTCTCTGCCCCTCCCTCGTTCATGCTCTGTCTCTCTCTGTCCCAAAAATAAATAAACGTTGAAAAAAATTTTTTAAAAAAAAGAAATATTTACTGAGAGACAGAGTATGATTCAGCAACAAAATAACTCTTCAACATTCTTGAGAATAGCATATTTGCTTTGGTGCATAGAAATAGACTTCTTTCTCATCCGCCCACTCTCGTGCCTCCAGGTTGGAAACCTGTTGTGTTGAAGGCTAGTTTTCTGGCTCCCAGGCCCCTTTGAGGATATGATAAAAGCTATCGAGCCTCCAGGGGGAAGGAGATCGAAGGACCTGCCGACAAGTGATGTGGCAGCTAAGCAGAGGATCCAGGATCGGGCAAACCGTAGCCAGAGAGCAGACTGGGAAGGTGCTTGCAGGACGAGGGACAGCTCCAGGGGATGTTCTGAGAGTGTCGAAGCTCTGTAAGGGTGTCCTTGTTGACTGAGTCCTTTGATCTTGGGGATTCTAGATTCTACCTCATCAGAACTATGCTCTGGCCTAATTTCATACCAGAGGAAACCAAATTTCTGGGAAGACAAAAATTTGCCAATAGCCAGTACCTAGTTTAGCCGTGCGGCCGGTCCCGAGCTCAGGACTTTGTCCCACCTGTACTCTGTCACCCGTCCTATGCTGCCTCCACTGTTTCTCTAGAACTGAATGTGGGAGAGCGATGTTGGGTAGCACAGCAGCTAGTGATCGTTTGAACGCAGGAGAAAAGTCTTCGAAGCCCTTATCCTCTGATCATTTATCCACAGGACCAGTTTAAAGGGCCAATGATAGTTTACGAGGCTATTTCCCTTTTGTGTTGCTTTTCTAAAAATTGGAAGTGCAACCAGTGCCATAAAAATAGAATGAGTTAATCTTCCTTCAAAAGTAGTAAAAGAAAGGGGAAACAACCGGAATATATCCTTAAAAGTAAGCAGACAATTCTAAAGATAATACTCCTCATTTTCATTTACGACTTTATTTTGCTTGTCTTCAGTCCTCTAGAGTGGGCATTTATAATTTATTGATCCCGGACCAGAGTGCTCAGTCTTTGTCTTGACGAGACCTGTGATCTCCTGTCACACCCCCTGGGTTGGAGGCAAGACGGATGATCTTGTAATGGCTTGTAGAAAGACTACATTCTTTCCTCTACTTTGAGTTCCTTTCCTTCTCTTTTCACTTACAAAGCTCTAAATCAGTTTTCAAAATTTAACTCTGGCATCAGCTCCCATGACTGCCTAAGCATGGTGTATATAGCTTCATTAAAACACATACCTTATTTGATATGTCCTTTGCAAATATCTTCCCATTCTGTCAGCTGCCCTTTAGTTTGTTGCTTGTTTGCTTTGCCGTGCAGAAACTTTTTATCTTGATGAGGTCCCAGTGGTTCGTTTTTGCTTTTATTTCCCTTGCCTCTGGAGACATCTCGAGTAAGAAGTTGCTGTGGCCAAGGT